CTCTTTTGTATTAGCTAGCAGTTTTAGCGAATACTCTTTTATGGTCAAGACAAAACTAAAAAAAAGTTGTACATAAAGCTTGTAATGAATTTGTAGCTATATATTTATTTTAATATGAACGTTGTTTAGATTAAGTTTATATTTAGAAACATACATATCTTATACTGTTAGATAGGTATTGCAAAACTCCTGCCCATTCTACAAAGTTGTAGAAGATTCTCGTGATTAAGAATCAACAATATATCTGTATATGTAAATGCTTTAACCAGTATTGTTATGTAAGACTGAATTTTCTAGAAAACCTTCCCACCCCTATAAATATAACTAATACGACTCACCAAGAAGAGTGTCTATTATTAGTTCGCTATATAGCGGTGTGCTATAAAACTTCGAAAGCTATAACTGTGATTGTTATAACGCTTATCAGTCGGAAAACTTAAGATATATGACCAGGAATATTTATAAATTTTGAACATTACAAATCATTTAACTTCAGTGGATTCTCATTGAACATTAGTAATTTTATGAAAACATATAAATTCATCATGGAAACCTAGTGTGTGTGGCCAAGGACAAAGATAGCTAGCTTTCGATTGGATCATATCTACATCAACTTGTAATTAACTCATTTATCATGAACCCTTGATAAGATATCAAGGAAGTTCCAGACTAGAAAAAAACTATATTGTTTGTAAGTTTGTGAAACTTTTGTTTATGAATCATTCTTTGTAATAACTATTTGTAATAATTGTTATTGTAAATTGTATTGTTGTGTGTATATTAAAACGTATTTGTGTTAAAAACGAAGACGGTGTGTATCAATCTTGTTGGCAAATATCATAAATTGACTAAAATAGCGGCATATATTTAAATACTAAATCCAAAGTACAATTTAACTACTAAATTTAAATTATTTAACTCGGCTTCGGACTATTCGAAATGCTAATACGTAACAAGCTTTATTTAGAGCAGAGAATTTATTGTGTCAAAAAATACTATAAAATGTCATGTGTCATCATGTAGAAAAGTACATGATGACACAGTAAATATTTGAACATTTGTTTATGTGTAATACTTTTTCATTTCTGTGCATCATATCAGGCATTTGCCCAAAACGTCACTTTGGATTTTATTTTGTATTCAGGTAATGTATATGTGTAGCGTAATATAGCATATTATAAAATACCTGTGGCCTGTTTCGAGACATTGTGTTTTATCTTTCCAGATCCACAAATTTCAATCAGAGATCTGGATATTCCAGTTAATGCTGTTGCTACTGCCCTAAAAGACTTCTTTTCCAAAAGGTTGCCACCACTTTTGCCTGTCTCTGTCATGGAGGAACTGAATGAAATATCAAGTAGGTGGAGAAGTTGACATAATGTACAAAAAAAAATCAAATTAAAAAAAAACTGTAATAACATTTCTAACATACCAATATGCTAATGTAACCTCATATTTTTTTGAAAGAAATTGTAAATTTAACTTGTAAGTTTTTATATCGGGAGATTGGCATTTCCAATTTGTAGTTGCTAAAGTTACATTTATAATCTAATTAGACCATATAATACACTGAAGAGAAATGTTAAATCATAGATATATTTTATTGACAAGTTAAAATTATTATAACCTTAAGATTAAGCCATTATCCCCAGACAAAAGTCTACCAATGTCAGTTTCTTTGTATTTTCATAATGATGAGGTATTTTGATTTTGAAATACATAAGCTTAATAAAATAACTATTGGTGTCAATTCCATGATTTGGTTTATAATATAAAAATAGTTAAAAACAACAACATTTTTGAACTGAATGTTTTCTCTTCTTCAGCTAAACATTAATGATATGGCTGTTTTCTTTTATTACAATAATATCTTGTTTCCAAGTGCAAAAGTGAATTATTCACCAAACCAGGACGTTTATTGGTAAATCAGATATGTATTCATTACTTTAGTTTGAACTACACGTTAACATTTAATTGTTGTTCTTCTATATGGTGAAGTTTATTTTGTACATTTCTGTTCAGGTAAATAAAGTAATAACCTTTATATCTAGGATGTATCTTTGTTAGCTCAGTATTAGTTTGAACTACATGTTATCATTTAATTTTTGTTCTTCTAAGTGAAGTTTATTTTGTACATTTCTGTTCAAGTAAATAAAGTAATAACCTTTATATCTAGGATGTATCTTTGTTAGCTCAGTATT